TTATTGTTTATTTTAAAGATGGTATTTATATTAGTAACCGATAACTATTATTTGGATTACAATTGATTTTGTTTTAACCCTACACTATTTGATTTTAACCCTTTTTCAACTAGAATTTAAACCTTCACTACTTGAATTTAAATTATGTTATAAATCTGTTAAAAACTTCATTTGTATAATGTTTTTAATTTTTCACAAAATCATATTATTAGTAAAATGATAACTTTTACTTCATATATATATATATATATATATATATATATATATATATATATATATATATATATATATATATATATATATATATATATATTGTTTTGACAAAATTGTATATATAATAGTAGTCGATAACTATTTTATCGGGTGGTTGAAGCTAAAATTGAGTAATTAAAAATATAAGTACATTGTGACCACTTATAATTTTAGAATAAAGTACATTGAGATCTTTTTATTTTTGGATTGAGACCATTGAAATGAGAAAACTATAAGAAATTAATGAGGATATATGAGGATTGAAAATAGAAAGTGGGAATATTATTTTGAAGGGGGGAGGGGGAGGGAGTATATTACAAGATTAATAATATTTGTGCCTTATTTTAATCAATAATATAATATTAATATGAAGGAATGAGACCATAGTAGTAACGCTAACATAGAAAAAAAAATTATTAATACAAAGATTAGTTATAAATTTACTTACAAGAAGTAAACATTGTTTTGAAAATTTTAAATTTTTTATTAATATATTTTTAAAAAGAGATATTTAATTTGCATGTTAATTTTTATTTGACAAAATGATATATTGTTTTGTAACAGATAACTATTTCTCGTATTTCAATTTTTATATTTTATAACCTCCACAATTTGGTTAATTTTAACCTTTCAGTATGTCATTTAAACCCTTCAATTGAAGTTTGGTTATATTTTTTTTTGGGATAATCTCCATTATTGGTTAAACAATTGATCGAGAGTTAATTACTAGCTACGTTACAAGATTACTAATAAAACATTTTCAAAAAGACATTGGGTTTGTAAATTATATAGTAACAATATGTATTTAAATAGTATGATTGATACATTATTTGTGTTTTATTTATTTAATTTTTAATTAGTAGCAATATAGTTTGTTCAAATTTTACTTAAGAGATAATGCTTGTTTCTAGTAAAGAATAACTATTATTTTTTATTCCAAATGTTATTTTTTTAACCCTCCATATTTAATTTTAACCCTTTACTATTTCATTTTAGGCTTTCATCATAATTTTGTGAATATAGTGTTGGGTGGTTGCATAAAACATTAACTATTTTAAGATCAGTTAGTCTTACTTTGTAAATAATATATTTTGCGCAATCTAAATTTTTGGTAAAATGATTGATCGAGGTTAAGTATTTGTAATTTAAAACAGATATTAAAATTGTAGTTCCTTACAATAATGAATTATCTAATATTAGTATTAAGGAGCTTAATTTCACTTTTTGGTAAATTATTTGATCGAGATTTAGTAGTTTGGTATTAAAACTAAGGATCATAAATACACTTTTACAAAATAACAATTAATCAATATATTGTATTGTTACATTACAATATTAAAAATTGGTGTGCTTAATAATAATCAAATATCTACTACTGTCATTAAGGAATGAGGCATTTACTATTAGTTGGTATTTGTATGTTACAAGATTAAAAAATTGTTGCCTTATAGTAATGATTTATCTTTTATTAATATTATGGAGAATAATTTATCTAGTTTTAGTACTTATAATAATATTAGGGCCATAATTATAATTTTTAATAAAAATAATTTGTCGAGATATTGTATTTGTACAATAAGATATTAATAATTGGTGGACCGTATAATAATCAAATTATCTACCACTAATATTAAGGAATAAGACATTTACTAATAATAATAATGAAGATTTTTATTAGTAACCGATATTATATACTAGTATTTGTATTTCAAATGTATTTTATTTTAACCCTCTACTATTTTATTTTAACCCTTCATTATTTTATTTTAACCCATTAACTCAAGTATTGTCATTAGTAATAGGTGGTTCAAGCAAACATTATACATTTCAATAATTTAATTTGAAAATGATAATTTTTACATAATCTCACTTTTTCGAAAATTTTAAGTTTTATTATTAATATATTTCAAAACTTTTATTTAATTTTCGTATATAACTATTTGTTGTATTCCAAATGAATTTTTTTTAACCCTCCACTATTTGATTTCAACTAATCACTACTTTAGTTTAGCCATTCAACTCAAGTCTTGTCATTAATATTGTATGTTTGAAGCAAACATTTAACATTCGAAGAGTTATTCTTACTTTGTAAATATTTATTTTTGTATATTCTTAATATTCGTAAAATAATTGATCTACAGTTAATAGTTGTATGTTACAAGATTAATTGTAGTGCCTTATAATAAACAATTAACTAAATTAATATTAAGGAGCATAATTTCACTTTTAAAGTCCATCAAACGTTTGAAGTCCATTATATGATAATTAAATTTGAAATTAAAACAGTAAATTAAAAAAAATCAAGTATTTGAGTAACAAAACAGGTTTTAATGACTGTAGTTTTGCAATTTAATTAGTAACATTATTTATTGCAATAGTATTCTCAACCTCTAATATAGTTTGCAGATAACAATGGTATATACTATGATTATCAAAACTATGTATCGATTTGTTAACATGGTCAATTTCCCGTAATCTTAATTACAAATGCAGCAATGAAAACTTGTCTATTGCTATTATATTTAAATACTACATGAATAACAAAAAAGGTTAAAATAGTTGTAGGTTTGAAATTAATTTAGTAACATTATATATTTAAATAGTATTCTGAACCTATATTATAGTTTGCAAATAACAACAGTTGATGGGAATAGTAATTTTGTATGCATTAAAGCCTATTGTTATTTTAATTGCAAAGAGGTTGGAGGGATAAGAATGCATTAAATGCATGTTTGACGCCTCATTAAAAACTCCCGTTGTTGCTTGCATTTTGGCTCCTAAACTCAATTAATTCCACCCCCCCCCCATTTTCCCTATTTTTTTGCTAGCATTGACATGGCAACTTCTCATTGGAAGTTTATGTCTACCCCACATAAATCAAGTTTATGTGTATTATCTTTCACTCCATTGTATTGAGAAGTCTCACATAGGTTTGCGCGATATATAAGTATATGAGATATTTAAAAGAAAGATACATCTTGTGTTGGTATGAATAGACACCCATTTTGTAGAGAAAAAGAAGTCTATTGCGGTGAAATATGGGTTCTTCATGTTTTGCTTTGTTATCAAATTCAAAATATCTTTATAAAATGCCTTTCACGTGATTTTTGTGAAAGTCTAAGCATACGAAAACCTCCCACTTTGATCGCGGGAGTGTAACTAAATATGATCTTCAATTATATTCAAAATTCATATACCAATACTTGTATAATTTAATACTTGTATTTATCTTTTGTTATTTTATGATTCCTAAAATCCAGGCTAACATTAAGCACATTGCATTAGGGGTGTTCAAAAAAACCCGACCCGTTTGACCCGACTCGAAAACCCGAAGACCTGCAAACTACCCGACGGGTAATTTTTTATTTTTTCCCATTTTTGCGGGTCGGGTACCCGACCTGTGAAAAAGTCTAATTTTTGGGTTGGGTAATGGGCCGCACTTTGAGTACCCGGGTACCCATTAAATACCCGTTTGGTTTTTTTTTTTTTTTTTTTTTTTTTTTGGTTTTTACTGAAAACATGTAAGGGTAGTGGGTTACTTTTTGCTTTAGCCGCTCTTTACTCTCCTCTCTCTCTCTCTCCTCTCTCTCTCCATTCCTTGAGCAGTTGAGAGAACTTGAACTCACAAATACTTGGATCTACGACCACATTACCACATCACTTCGCCCGCAACCACGACCATATTACCACACCACTCCACCCGCAACCACTCCACGACTCCACGTCTCCACCGCAAACCACCATTCCACCGCAGACCACACCGGGTGCTGTTGCTCCACGTGCGCGACCACAAGCTCGATCTCGACCAGTGTGCCGCAGATCTCACCGCCTGCCTCTATTTCACGGCCTACAAGCTCGATCTCCACTGTACACACTTCTCTCATACGAACATTATCTCTTTGGTAAAGGTGAAAATGAGGCTTGCTTGGGGTTTTTTTTTTTTAATTATTATTATTAATTAGTTTAGTACTGTAATTACTTATGTGTTTTTCATTCCACTCAAATTAGGTTTTGATATTAGTTTTTGAAATAAGTTTGATAGGGGTAAGAATCGTTAGATAAAAGTGAGAAATTAGTTTTGTTGTAATTTTGTAAAGTAAAATCAATGGACAGATTTACTATTGTAATATTAAATTATGGATTTGTAGCTATATATGTTTTTGTTGTGTTTTATACCACAATTTGATAATTTTAAAGCTTAAATAAAAAAAAAAACGGGTACCCGGTGACTCGACCCGGTAAAAACAGGTACCCGATAAGCAGATACCCGGTTTTACCGGGTCGGGTAATGGGCCGCCATTTCACTACCCGCATATCCGAGTATCCGCACTTCCGGGTACCCAAAAATCCGGATACCCGGTTATGAACACCCCTACATTGCATAGAGAGAAAAAAAAAATTGACAAATCAATGGATCAAGCAATTTCATTGTCTTAATAAACCAAGACCTAGCATGCTCAGTTTTGCCACTAAATCAAGACCTCATTGGCTCTAACAATAGAAATGTGGTTAGTAGATAAACTACTAATAAAGTGATGTTCAACTTTTGTTAACTTCAGTCATCAGATTGGCCAAACGAATCCTTATTGAAGCAAAATTGGTTATTGTTAGATTGTTACGAGTAGTTGTTATCACAATTATTTTTTTAAGCAACTGCAACAGCTATTGGCACCACTTCATGGTAAAGAAGTTTGCTATTATCAATACTGTGTCCTTAATAGAGTGATCTTAAATTCTTATTTTGAATGTGTCCAAATAGTACTCTATATATATATACTCCACATTATAAATATGAGATGCCAATCATGAATATGTCCATTTTCTAATGAAAGAAATATAAGGAATGAATTGTTCTTGATTAGAAAGTCATACTTATGTACAGGGTAGCTAGCAAAAAGTAGATAACTTATGTGAATGAACTATCTGGCGAAGCATTGCTGCAGCCATCTTTGCCAATGCACCAGATGCGGCTGGAACTAGGTGTTGCAGTGACTGAGCTAGATTTTGCATCGGTACTAGATGAAATCTCTGAATCAGAACATCTGCTAGGGTTTGAGTCACTAAAATACCCATCCACCTTGTTCATTCGTTCAACTAGGGAGTGCCTTATATGTGGGTTGCCAATAGGGCTATCCAGTATTCCGTTTATGAATGACACCGATGAAATATAGGGCGTTGGCACTGGGGAATTGGGATTGCTCGAGTGATCTTCTTGTAGGATATCTCCAATCCTTGTCAGTATGCTGTAAGCCAGGTTTCCAAGAACTCTGGAATATGCTTCAAGGATGGAATGTCCAATATCCTATTGAAAAAAAAAAAAACATATTAGAACCCCACCACAAAAACTAAATATACATGTTCTGAATGACTTCATTCAATGATTTATGTAGCAATTAGCCAGAAACAAAAAATTAGTCAGACCAATATAGAGTAAACAAAAGCTAGAGTCTCACATTATAAATTTTTACAAGAAGTATATCAATGTAACATGTCTGATTTTTCTTCATTTCTAGATCATTTCGTTACAACCATTTTATTTCTGAAAACTCCCTGAAAATTTCAAGAAATTTTTTACCTCAGGTTTGGTGACATTTATTTAGGTTCTTTGCTTTCTCAAGGTCTTTCAAATCCCAGGACATATTTGCTCCGGTCGCTTATTCAGTAAATGAAATGTCACTTAACGTTATGCACTAGATTTATTTACATGATACATAGCAACTAATATTGAGCTACGTAACTGCAACAAGTATATTTCATATTATAAACCCAATTTTGTATTTTTGCACATTTCTGTTTCCTACATCTCTTGCCATTTCCTCATTTTACAAAGACAGAGTAACCTCTTTTCAGTTTCCTTATTTAAACCGCATAGTTGCTACTATCAAGATTATTCTTGGACAAGGATAGAGCTTATGAAAGAAATCCTTGGAGAACCCTCATGAACCATTAATTAATTTATAAATCATTATAGGTTATATTGTATCCAGTTATACTAACCTTGCCATACTGTATTTTCGTGACATCGAGGAATGCGTGAGGAAGACATGGATATCTCATCTTCAATTGACACAGAATTGCATCTACAGAGAGCAATAGTGACTCTGACTTTTCCACCTCAGGTATGGGCTCCTTCATAAAGCGCCAGGACTTTCTGACAGGAGTCTTGATACCACTGACTTGCTCTTTGATTTTTTCTCTCCATGCTAGTGCTGCAGCCTCCAGCTTATTGATAATGTCAAGAGCCTCATGTTCAGATCTCAGTTTCAGAAAATCAATGATTTCCGATGCTGAGCTTGATCCTGAGGCTATAACTTTATACAATTCCTCTCCCAGACAAGCCCTTCCAGACTGCATTTCAAGCATATAAATAACAACTTATCATCCATTAAGCAATTTTCATGAACTGAAACATGAGGTAATTTTACTCAATAACTGCAATGAGGTACAGTAAACAGCCATGTCTAATGCTTAGAAAGAAATACAAATGGGCTTGCCTTGGGCAGTGCATCTTGAATGCCTTTAGGCACTGGCATTTCAAGCAAGATATTTTCGTTGATGGATTTGGCAGCCTTGAAAACTTGATGGACCATATTACCCTGAGAAAGCAACTTCTTTCGGGCATTTTCTGAGAGACCACCAGCTGGGACTCGTGGAGACGGAAGCCACCACCTTCTGCTCTGCCTTTCACTCCCCCCTCTTCCATCTTTTCGGCTATTGCCTTCTGCATACCAAAATTCTGTCTCTTCCATCGAGTTCAGAAATTCCTGATGTAAATTCAAATTCCATAGGTTATGTTAGATTGGAAAAAAATGGCTTATATTTTCTCTCTTACAATCAAAAAGGTTCCTCCATTCATAATATAACAGTTTATACGTTCAGTGGAATGAAGAGATCACCTACAATTAGCATAGAGTCAATCTTCTGAAGTGCTGGAAGGTTGATATGCACATCTGCACGAGCTTTGGGCGTCATTATCTGGTCCAAGGTCCAAAATCAACAGAAGTTAGGATAAGATTATCTTAATAAAAGTAGTTCAAAGATTGTTGAGGAATAGGAGGCACCTCAAAGTTCTGACCATTAGTATCACTTTGTTTAGCAGGAACCAATTCAACCATATGATTGGCAGGCGAAAGTAACCAATCCATTTCTTTTTGCCACTTAGCGCTACTTTCTTCGGATAAAGGTTCCAACTTCCACAACTCCCCAAAAACAGATGCTGTAGATGTTAATTACAAAGTGTTGACAACTGGTAAAAATGAAAGATCACATAGAAAATAGTGAAATAAAAGTTGAGCAAAATCGATACCTGCAAGATTTGTTATTGCATTTGATATTGCTAGTGCACTGCATATGCCTTTGCGTCCTCCAGTCACATCCTCGCCTAACAAAAGTTTCGCAAATTTCTCTTTCATAGCCTCCACATCAGAGAACTGAGTAGTATAAGCCGCTCTGTCTTTGACATAAATATGTTCTGGGCTTTCTGGGACACTCCACTCATCAGTTTCTTCATGGTTCCTCTTCATAGTCCTATCAGAAAAGAAAGATCCGAAAGCATCTTTGCTTGATGAGCAGCTGGTTTCTCCTCCATTAAAAGAGTCTGCTGGACAATCATTCTCCCCACAGATTGAATTCTCACTTGTGTACAGTCGACTGTTCAAAATGCAACTCTCGAGACCATCATATGTCATGATTCCTGAAAGATGTTTGTATAAATTATTGCGACTATATCTAAGATACTAAAAATGATGACAAATTTACAAGACATATTCCCATTGAGAGTAAAAGATTAAGTTTCAAGAGTGACACATTCAAATTTTAGAGTGATTTTACTAATTCAGCAAGAGATTAAGCATGATAACATGCACATATCAACTGGTAAACTTGACCTTACACTACAGAAAGTCTTAATCATAGACGGTCCTTGAGTAAATAAACAATAATGAACGAATTAAGGGGTAACAACTAACAAGCATATGGTAGTTCACTTTGTAACGAAATCATCAGGAATCACGTAGTAAAGGAGAAAGTTGAAAGATTTGACAGCAGATTGTAAGTATCATCAGGATTCTATTTGTGCCTGCAGCCATAAGCACTTAAGCAGGTATTGTTTTCACTCAAGTGCAAGGGAGGTTGTATACAAAATCAGATAATTTTCAATTACTTAAATAGATCCAGAAGTATCTGTCATTAGTAAATACGAGCAACAAGCCAAACATTAGACCTTGCAAAATTTACCTGATGTAAAAACACTGATCAGAATTGCTCAAAAATTTTAAGGTCCTGAACCCAAAACCCGAAATAATGTAACAAGAAAAAGTAGTTTATCACTGGCCCTAAGTCACCCAAACCAACCTATACCAAACCCAAATACACCTGACCAGTCGATTACAAGTCTGCCTCTGCTTGAATTTTGATATACATTTATTTTTTGCTTACCCTTAGCATTAGGGGAACACAATTTTATTGCATTATAGAAATGCAAGGATGGTGGAAGAAAGAAACGGAAATGAAGTCTAGTTTATACTCTAAAGTCTTACATCTTAATGCTAGAGTAAAAAAAACAAAAAAAATCATAACAGCAATAATAATTATTAGGATATTTTCCTTTTCTAGGCAATATAAACATATCCTTAAGATATGCATATCTTACCCAAAAGGAATAGTATAAGAAACAATAATAGTCCTGGTCTTTATCATGCACAGTGCGTGCCATATTGCAAGTAATAAAAAACGGAGAAAAAAAAATATTATATTTGGGAAAGTAAAGATATGTATTTCTTAAAGATACATGTATGACGAATAGGAGGAATTTTACAAAACAATACTCAGATTATATACCTCAAAAAGGGAAGAAAAAGAATGGGCCCAATAGAATAATGCCCAATACATTACTTCGTATTAGTCAAAGATTCCCTCAATTGGGCCTATGCCCAGCAAGGTTGTCACGTGTCAGGCGTTAGAAAAGATCCAGTGGGCGTGCAATTATGAGTTTATGACCATCAACAACATACTCTTTCTTTTTGTTTTTCGAAGGCCATTATCTTTCTTGATAAATTAAAATTTCCGTTCGTTTATTTATTATTTTTTTTATTTGAGGAAATCATAAAAATTATGATTTATAAACTTTTAAAAGAGATTCAATTAAAATTGTGTTGCTACCATGTGTACATATATCTTTTGAAAATACTTTCTTATGCAAAATATAGCATGTATTTTTACTTCAGGAAAAAAAAAAAGTTTAATTTCTTAAAGATAAATGACGATGAAAAAAATAAGTAAATAAATCACTTTTTTTTAAGTTTTATATAAGAAAATTTATAATGGAGCCAATTGTTTTATATGGGAAGAATGAAATTGTTTTAAAATTACTTGGGAATGTTATTTTCAAAACCATTAAGAAAAATACAAAAAATGTGATAAGTGCCAACTCATACATAAACAAGAGGGATTAGGGAAGCATTCAACCATAGGAAATTTCCGTGGACCTCTTTTTTTGTTTTAATAAAAACGCTTTAGTCTTCTACCAAGTATTTTCCTCATACCACTTTTTCATAATAGATTAAGACTTCAGAATGCAACAAAATCTCCTTCTCCTATTACAACATTACCTCCATCTTGTTCTGTTTCCATATACTTCGTAAGACACAATTTCATGTGCTTGGACTATGCACATATTCTTCCTCACCTTCTTTATAGGGGGAAAATACAAGAAATTCAACAATCAGTAAGAATATATTCAACTTTTGTCATATTCTATTGTCAATCTCACATTTTTGAAATTATGAACAAGTCCTTTCAAATTTAATCCTCAAAATTATCGGAGATACACTTTGTTGTGAAGATAAATCAATCCAACATTTATAAGAATTTTAACTTCTAAGTTTACCAATGGAATGATCCCCTTTAATAAATAACTAATACTTTGTAGTAATATTTAGAGTTTAAACTAGAGGTGATCATTGGGCGGGACGAGGCCGTGCCAAGGAAAAAAAAAATCAGCTAATTCTTAGGCCGGGCCAAGCCAGCTTCAGCCGGAAATTATATGCCCAAAACCGTCCAAATGAACAGGCCGAGCGGGCTTTCAGGCCGGGCTAAAAACAACTAAAATTGCATAAAAATGCATTCCAATCTCGCTTAAATTTGGACCAGACTGACTTTGATCGGGTCTAGTTTAAACATTAAATAATCATTTTATCTATCGATCATTTTATTATAATATGGTTCTTAAAGTACATGGTATAACAGTACTAATTTAGAATTTCGAACTAATTTAGTACACACAAGCAAAGGAACCAATGGAAAATTGAAAAGGACCTTTTATTACTACAAAAAGTCTAATTAATCCCTACATTACATGGGAAATTGTGCAATTAATTAGTTTTTAAAACCATCAAAAGTAGCATTAAACAATATCCAACAACTCATTTTATAACATTTAAAATTAGTGTGTTATGCCAAAGTCAAACTAGAGTAGAAAAAGACTACCCTACCTTGAGCCAAATAACGTTGGTGCTTTTGTTTGAAAATTGACGAACCAAAAATCTTTTATGCGTATTATTATTTACTGTATCAGTAAACGATGACCTGGCTTATTGTTTACACCAGAAATTAAGTGTAATGGATCAAGTTTTCTGGGAGAGTACTTATACATCAAAATCATTGTTCATAGTCATGTAATATCTAGTTTTTATCATTTGATGTGTTGTTCTATCTAATTACGCCTATATTTATACATGTATCCGTTTCCATGCAATCGAAAAAACATGTTTTATATCTTTGTAATATTGTTGGAGTACTAGTAGTTCTTTCTTACACGTTTTCAGAAACAATATGACAAATTAGTATACAACTAAGTCCAGCTAGTACATCAGTACATTCATTTCAACAAAAACGTCCAATTATAGGTTACTTTACAATCCCATTTATCTTGCCTCCCTAAAAATTAGGGATTCCAAAATTTCGAATTGACAATTTTATTAGCAGGTGATTATAATATGTTCCCTGAATTATGCCTATTAAAGGTGCCAAATTGGCTAATTTGGCTATAGTAACATTGTTGGAAATAATGCTAAGGAAGTTTTTATTTGTTTTGGAGGAAAACTCTTTGTCCCACATCGGTGGGATAAGGAAGGTTTTATTTGATTTATATATTGGAAGAAAAGGGGTTTTGTCCCACATTGGTGGGAGAAGTAAATTTTACTTGGTTTAAATATGTGTGTTTATACTTTGATGTTTAAAGTGTTTTCCCTATTGTTGTGGGTTAGAAGGGGGCATCCCTACGTGTGCGGTGTGGTGTGTCTACTTTTTTGGGCTAAATCGTAGCTGACGTTACAGCTTTTATGAGATTGTTCGGTTTTTTTAAACGTTTTTAATTGTCGTTGATTTTTCTCCACTATTATTTCGTGGCTTGATTCTCTCCAACAGTTACAGTTTTTTTCATCCTTATAAACTGATCTTTTCGTGACTTTTGAAACACACAGAAACTCTTTCTTCTTCTTCCTCTATTATTTTCAGTTTTCCTCTAAAGTTGTTCTGAGCATATTGTGAGTTCCTAATCTCTCTTTTTGAGTGCACATTTAGGGAGATCGCTATGTTAAATCTTGGGGGGCAACGCCATCTCCGATTGCACCATAGTCGCCTAGTCGGGGCGAATTTTGCTTCTAAGACAGTGTTTCTAACACGTCACGGAGTTATACATACATTAAGAAATTCGGCCCACATTCCAATCCTTATTTTCTGATTTTACAGTATTTCAGCCTACAAACATTACAACATTCAACTATTGCATTTTTAAAAATAGATATAATATTTTAATTACTAACATATTTATGTACTGACAACATTTTTTAAGAATAAATGAACGTGTATATACTCCGTATTACAGTATATGAGTAGAGCAACCAAAAACGAAGATAGTAGTACTACTCGTATTTCCAAACATGTGGACTACTTTCAATTCTTCTTTTTAATACGAAGTACAGGAAGAGGTACACACGATGTCAAGATCTACATACATAGATGATAGATTAGCCTCTAACCAGATCTCGATTAATGAGTATAAGGTTAATGTAGGTTTTTTTCTTTTCTTTTTTTTTTTGGGTAATGTTTTGTTTTATTCATGGTTTGTTTCTTTAGACCATAAAAAATGTCTACTCCTCAGCATCTAAAGCCAATGACGCACGTTGTTAGCCATGTGCCTGAGTACCTTATTGAAGTAATTCAACCTTAGTTTATGCAGTGTTCTCATGCGCAAATGTCACACTTACTTTGCCATTCCCAAATTAGATAAAATAAAAACACTAGTGAATTCATTCAATATTAAGTAGCGTGTCGCAGATATAAACATAAAGAACTTGTCAATTTAACCGTATATTCGTAGTTTTTATCATACAAGAAACAACCGGTTGTATCGTACGACTAGTGTAAATCCATGTAACCAAATAAGTTAGTTGCGTATCATTTCAATAAACTCATCGAGCATTTATGAGGGGGCAACCAGTACTAGTTCAGCAATAATACATGATGGCTATATAATATCAAACATAATAAAAATATGATGATGAAATATAACGGAAGAAAATGAAATGTATAAGAGAAAGTAGAAGCTTACTGTTGTTATGTTCATTCTCATCAAAATCAATGCTAATTTCTCTACTGTCTCTCGTACAGCAAGCCAAACTCTTCTTCACCCCCATCCTCATGTTTGTTTAACACTTTTAATTTTTGTGCCCACCACTCTATAAATAAATATCCACCCATTAATAAATCTTTCTTACACAAATTACATGTGTTAATTATCTAGTTACATTACAACATGGACATTATACAGATATTTAAGACATTAATTTTTGGTATGAGATCATTAATTATGGTAATAAAATATGAAATTTTGTATTATTATTATGGAAAATGTTATACATGACCTTTAGGACTACATATAAGGAGCTAAAAATGGAAAAAACAAATGAAAACATAACATTAATTACACTGTTTTGCGCGTGATTTTGTCATGCATTCCTAAATTAATAATCCATACCAAATATAAAAAGATATTAAATGCTTATTCTTAGCCCTTAGGCTACATGTAAGCATGTAGCATTACCCTATTATTATTACTCATATTATTATTTCGACTCATCAACTCACTGTCTCATAGTTACAAGAAATGACCTTTTATAATTCATAGTAATTACTTATATTTTCCATGAAATAATTTCAGTAATACTCCATAGTACATTTTATAAGTAATCATGAACAATTTTCGAAATAATACGTTTACGGAGACTTATTACCACTCCGTAATCATATGTAGTAATGAACGATAATGTTGTGCACACTCACATCAATCACTTGAAATATTACCCACCGTAACAATTAATTAAGTACCTTACAACAAAAAATCATTTAAGGTAATAAAATTACGGTTTAACTAAGGTGTGCCCGCTGCCCACACAATAATTAAGCAAATTCGATGATAATTACTCGTATATGATCGCGAAAAATCATAAGTATTTCAGACTATATCAAATTGGTAATTAGGACTTAAAATTCGACTTAGAAATTCCATAAATACGAATTAATGATACTCATTTTATATAGTACTCAAATTACTTTTGCTTCACCTTATTACCTTCTAAAAATGAAATCATTGAAATATTACCAAAAAGATCCTATCATTAGTACCAAAATAAACAGATAGTTGGACCCCATTACATCAAATAAAATCTAATTCAGAAATTAGTAAAATAAAAAATGAAGAAGAAGGAATGAAAACACACCTGAATCAGAGATGAGTAATGAAATAGTAATTCCGAAGAGTATGAGAGAGAAATTTTCAATTAGAAGGCGAAAGAAGGGAGTGGAGGAAAGTATGAATCTTAGACGCCATTCACGAGCAAAATGTGAAGACAAATCCCACTAATATAACATAACACACAACAATCAATTGAATTTATTATTCATTCTATGTGAGCATGTAAATGATACGAAGTAATACTCCGACAAAAATGAGTAATTAATAATTTGAAATGAGTAATGTGATAACTAAATTTGTACGGAAGCGAAGGTATAGTAACGAGTAGGAGTCTTATTACCTGGTACGGGACAAGGGGCTAATAAATTTGAGCAGAAGAGTGGGTGAAAATATTGGAGGAGTGAGAGTTTTGAGTGATAGAACAAATAAATGAGAGAGAGAAGAAAGATTGATTTTTTTTTTTTAGGAGAAAGGAGTTTTTTAATTGGAGGAGAGAGACTGAGGAAATAGGTAATGGTGGGTCCAAGGGTAAAATTGGAAATTAAGGTTGGGCTTTTATTTTTTGTATTTTTGGGTTGAGAAATGAGATGTGGGTGGGACGTAAGAGGCGGGGAGTTGTTTTTTTGATGGGCTCAAATGTGAGTGGAGTAGGAGGCTAGGCTAGCGTCAATCCCTATATTTAAAAAAAAAAAAATATATTTGAAGTTGATTTTATTTATAGTTGTTGGATACTTGGATTGACATTTGACAAGAATTATTAATTTGTATTCGGGGCCTGATTTTGGTGATTTGCAATGGCGACTTGCCACCTTATCCTTTGCTTATGGTGGACTGAGTGTCTATTCAGCGGGTGATGTTCGACACTATGCTTTTCTTGCGTCCCGTTTGCAGTTTTCTAGTTTTCAGGCTATGATTCTTCGCAATTTTGGTATTGTTGGTCCAAAACCGGCCTTCAATGGTGCTCTTAGTCGTTTTAATAGGATTGTGGAGACTGACCTTATGAGTAACCCTAGTGAGATCGCTGCCCCCAAACTCATGAAGAAATTGACAGATATATATTTCACGAAGGTCACTGCATCTGCAGAATCCACTTTCTTCTTATCTCCGCGTCAGGTTGACTTATGGAAGTCCCAGTAGGGGGATCACACTTCGACATAGTTGCGAGCGGTCCCGATATTAGGTTTGGGTTAGACTATGAATGGTAAGACTTATCGTTGTGTTCTTTGCTATCGGTTGGGTGTTCTTTTGTTCTCCAACACCGCGTTCTGCTTGTTCAAGGGTTTTTTATGGGGATATTTATGGGGATCATGCAATGTCTTGTGCTGGGATGGTGGGTATTAAACATCGGCACAACGTTGTTCGTGACACCCTTGTTGATATTTGTTTTTGGTCTAGGATTTCTGCAAGAAAGGAGGTTAACGTTAGGTTGATTGGAGGGAACGACGGGGCTCTTCGACCAGTAGATGTGTTGCTTTATTCTTGGGATAGAGGCCTTGATGTATGTGTTGACTTGACGGGGTGTTCTCCTTTGATTCAATTTGGGTTGTCTTACTTCGTTCCTAGCTGTGTTGTGTCGGCTGCGGCTCAGCGAAAGCGGGACAAGTATGAGGTGCGTTGCAAAGCTATTGACTATGGTTTTCTTCCTTTCTCCTTTTCTTCATTGGGGGAATTAGAGAAGGATGTTGTTGCGTTGCTGAAGCGGGTTTAGGCGTTCGCTAGGACTCAGGATATTGATGCTCGTGCAACTGCTCACATCTTCAACATGATCGAGTTCGCTATAGCTAGAGGGTGGGCCCAGATTGTACCTCGGCTCTCCACTAATTTCTTATAAATCGATTGACTTTGTAGGTTTTTGTTATTTTTCTATAATAATAATAATAATAATAATAATAATAATAATAATAATAATAATAATAATTTAACATTTAAGTGAAAAAGGCATCTATGCTTAGAATATCATAACAAGATAAGCTTTGTTCTTGGGGACTTTTTGGTGGACTCTCTAATCCGTTTTTTCATCGGTTTATGTTCATCATATTATTGAATCACTAGTAAACTTCATTGCATTTTCCTTTTCAACGTATATCGGTATATGATCAAGTAATTTGTCAAGTAGTCATCAATCATACTAATACGAAGCATAGTTTTCATGATTTTCATAGTTTAGAACGGATGCTCTACAGTTGCTACATATATTGGAAGTGTCAAAATCAACGAACGAGTCTATCAATTCAAATGATCAAATAAAAATAATAACCGTGTCTTATATTATATGGCCAACTATTGGTAAAGTTCCAAAATAGAATGAAGATATAGTAACTTGGGCCAATCTCTAACCTCAAGGTTGAAAATTGCTACTAATATTTTAAATTTTTCTTATTATGAGAAATCTTATTGATAACTTACTAGCAAGTTTGCTATATCATCAATTTGGAAATGTTGAAAGTTGCATGCCTGGACTATCTAAAGATGAACATAGAGCGAATAATTCAAACGATCATCATCAAATTAGTAATTTAGCTCTTGTAATTGAGAATCTACGACAACAACGAACACTTTAACTGAAGTCTGTTGATGAAGTCATGTATTTTCATTGTTTCGTACATGATGGTTAACGCCTGAAAGTGAGCTCCGGATTATCAACAAAATTGCCTTTAACGCTCTAATATGCATGTCACATTTATTTCAAAATGTCTATCATGACAAAAGTGACAACATAAAAGATGTTTCTAACAAATTTTCTCTATTATGACTACTAATTGTTCCTCCTAGGTTTGAATCATCCTTAATCCCAACAAGCAAATCATATATAGCAAAAATCGCCTAATACTATATATGCAATTGAGGCTAACAAGACATCTAAAATATATAAAAATTATGACTTAACATCATCGATCTACAACCATCGTTATTAGGGTTATCATCATCACTCTCATCAACATCAAATTTATTTGTCATTTTAATTTGGTGTTGAGGAGGATGATCAATTTTATAGAGAAAAGACTAAACCATGTTTGGGAGTCATCTGATAGTTTTAAAGTTAGCTCGTTTGACAACCTGGTTGTATTAATTGGTTATTGTTAAGATATGATGAGATTTGATTTGATATGATTGATATTTTTTAGTTGGCATATGATAGAGTTATGTTAAGATTTGATCATAGCTAGGATACTTTACATATTTATCTCCTGTACGCTATGTATTTGGCCATGAGCATCAATATAGGGCTTGAGCTTTTCCTTCATAATTATTTTACATGATATCGGAGCCATTTTTTTTTTCACCCTTGAATATGACATGCGGTAATTCATCTTCACCGCCACCATAAAAAAATCAGCCATATAGAGCTATGATTGGTACTAGTAAGGTGCCGATATTAAGTTGAAAAGTAAGTTCAATACTAGTTTATGGATAGTCGATACCGGAGCCACACATCACGTCAGAGGAGATGATACTTGGTTGTTTGACACAACTCCTATCTTTGATTGTCCGGTTGGTCTTCCGAATGGTGAGACCGTTCTTGCAGAGAAGGAGGGTTTGGTTCGCCTGTCAGATTCCATTGTTCTTAAGCATGTTCTTTATGTTCCCAAATTGAGTTATAATTTACTCTCGGTTTAACAATTAAACAATGATTTGCTTTTTGTTGTCAATTTTAATTCCTCTATGTGTGGTATACTAGACCAAGTAGGGAAGTTGATTGGAACGGGAGTTAGACAAGATGGACTTTATTATTTGAGCAACCTATAGTGCAGCCAGTAAGTTCGCAAGAATTGGGTCATGGACTTCGAGAAAAAATTCCTTCCGTGTTGTTACGGGATTATGTCACACACACTATTGTTGCACAAAGTCCATCTTTGCCTACTCCGTCTTCACGGTGACCCTCAAGTACTCCTTGTCCCATAACACACTATATCAATTGTGACATTTTTTCAATCAATTATCGTAAGTTTTTAGCAGCTATCATTTCGGGTCAAGACCCGAAATCGTTTAAGGAAGCAATGAAACATGATGGGTGGAAGAAATCCATGCAAGAAGAAATTCGAGCTCTAGAAGATAATGGGACATAGACTTTGGAATAGTTGCCACCAGGCAAACGTGCTCTTGGTAGTCAGTGAGAGTACAAGACAAAATTTCTTTCTAATAGAGACATAAAGCGATTGAAGACAAGGTTGGTTGTGTTTGGTAATCATCAGACATAGAGTATTGATTACAGTGAAACTTTTGCTCCAGTTGCTAAGATGACTATAGTACATGCTTTTCTAGCTATTGCTGCGTCGAAAAATTGGGAACTTCATCAGATGGATGTTCATAATGCTTTTCTTCATGGTGACCTCGAAGAAGAAGTTTACATGAAATTGCCTCCCGAGTTTGAGAGCAAAAATCCGAATTTAGTGTGTCGATTGTGGAAATCTTTGTACGGTTTGAAGCAAGCTTTGCGATGTTGGTTTGCCAAATTAGTCACAGCTTTAAAAGGGTGTGGGTTTCTTCAATCATACTCTGATTATTCTTTGTTCACATTTACTAATGCTTCAGTTCAGATAAGTGTGTTGGCATATGTTGATGATTTGATAATTTCGGGGAATGATTCCGCTGCGATACTAGCTTTCAAAGCTTATTTGGGTGATTATTTCAAAATGAAGGATCTTGGTCCTTTAAAATATTTTCTTGGTATTGAGGTCGCTCGTAGTGCAACAGGCTTGTTTTTGTGTCAACGTAAATATACACTTGATATTATTTTAGAGGTCGATTTGATGGGCGCGAAGCCATCCGATTTTCCCATTGAGCAGAACCATCGTTTGGGTCACGCAGATGGTGCTTTATATTATGAACCGGAGAAGTATCGTTGCCTAGTTGGGCGTCTAGTGTATCTTGCTGTGACGCGTCCGGATCTTGCTTATTCTGTTCAAATTTTGTCTCAATTCATGCAACGACCTCATGTGGAGCACTGAGATGCGATTTTGAGGGTCGTTCAATACTTAAAAGGGACACCGAGGCAAGGTATTTTGCTTAGTGCTGACAGTGATCTTACTCTACAAGGGTGGTGTGATTCAGATTGGGCACGTGTTCGATCACTCATAGATCATTAACTGGTTGGTTAGTTTTCTTGGGCCATTCTCCTATTTCATGGAAAACAAAGAAGCTGCATATGGTTTTGTGTTCATCTCAGAGGCAGAGTATCACTCTATGGCAGCTATCACTTGTGAGTTAAAGTGGTTGAAGGGTTTGTTGTTAAGTCTTGGCATTCATCATCCCAGGGCTATTCCTTTGTTTTGTGATAGCCAATCAGCTTTACATATAGCAAAGAATCATGTGTTTCATGAATGAATTAAACAT